TTTTTTTTTTTTTTGTTGTCTCTAGCCTGATCAGATAGGAGCACAAGCGGGGGGCAGAAAATAGAGAGACACTTGGGCGGCACAATTTCCTCCTGGCCCCTGAGCCGTCTTGCCAGCACCATTCCTGGTCATGCAAAACAGAACCCAACTAGCAGCAGGGAAGACAAGAACACCCACACAGACACTTTTCTACAGTATTTCAGGTGCCTACCACACAGGAAACCTTGAAGAAAATCAGTTTCTAGAAGCCGCTGTTACCTCTTGTTTACAGTTTATATATATATGATAGATGTGAGATATATATATATATAAAAGGTACTGTTAACTACTGTACAACCCGACTTCATAATGGTGCTTTAAAACAGCGAGATGAGTAAAAACATCAGCTTCCATGTTGCCTTATGTGCAAAGGGTTTTAACCAAGGGTGGAGAAAGGGACAGAGCTGGAAGATGAAACGATCATGGTGGGGTTTTCCCTCCTTGGTTCCTAAAAAGGCGAAGGAGGAGAACTTGGGAACGGTGGTCTCCCATTTCTCCCTGCCAAAAGGGGGTGAGGTGAGGTGGTCGGGACCGTGGGAAGCTGAGAGTGGAATTCATCCAGACTCACGCAATAACCTTTTGATTTTTGTTCTAAAAGGAGACTCCCTTGGGAAGATGGCAGGGTGAGGGGTCTTCAGTCCCAGTTTCTCACTTTAGCTGATTCGAGGGCTCCTTGTGGTGGGATCAGAAGTCATCCAGAGTGTGGGAAAGTGACAGTTAAAACCCCGCCTGGAGCAAATAAAAAAACATACAAAACGTACTGGTGCTTTCCTGTCTAAGTCGCCTTTTGTGTGTTCTTTTATGAGGCCCCCACCATGCACCCCTCTGTGCACAAGGCGGCGCCTGGCCCCTGGAATGTGATGTTTTTGGTCATCTCCAAAAGGCTGCAGTTTTATACTGGGAGGCTGATGACACATTTTATTATAATTATTATTATGGTTCTGGTTATAATTACGTTTGTTTTAAGATTTTCTTTAAGAAAACAAAAACCCAACACCCCTCCCGTTAGGTTTCAAACCAAGGTGCGGGGAGCAGGGTGCTTTTTAAGTACAAGTGGTGGCTCTGGTGCCCTGGCTCCCCACCCCTTGGGCCAGGTGGGCCACCGGGCACAGTGACAGTGGGCGTCCCGAGAGTCTGCTCCGGGTCAGCCCCTCTTCTCTTCTACTTCCCTCCTCTGAGTCAGGTGTGTCAGGGCTGGAGGGAGGACCCAGCAGGCTCTCTCCTTGTGTGTATGATTGGAGTGTGTATTTCTTTTCTAGTACTTGTCTGATGATAGCTGTGCTCTTACCTTGAGCCAGCAGCACCTGGAGCCCCAGCTGCATGACACTTGGTCCCACTTCCTATGGAGGCGGACCGCCTGGCGTTGGCGGTAGGAAGGGACGGCATTTGGTGGCTCCAGGGTGAGGGCCCGATGGGCAGATGCTTGCCTGGATCAATGGGGTGTAGATAATGTGGCATATAGAGATATATATTTTATAATGGGGGGGGGAATGGCACCTCCTGGGACTGGCAGAGATGGGGGTGTGCTGCCAAGCACATGGTCCCATGTTCGCATCCCTAGAAAGAGGGCCTACGGTGATAGGCACTATATAAATACATAGATAGGGTCAGGTATAAGAAATATTATGGAGTGGGGTGTGGGGGAGGGGCTCCGAGTGCTGAGCCCTAGGCCCCACTGCAGACAGAAGCCCACCCAGTCAATTTCACAGACACAGGAACACTTCTGTACAGATGCATAGCGTGCACGCGCACACACGCCAGGAGCCCCCAGCGCTCCCCAGGATTCAGGACTTTGTGGAGTCAGCCCGCGCAGCTATTTACCTCTGTTGCCCTGATTGCAGGCAGACTGTCAATCCCAGAAGTTGCTAGGTGCTGAAAGGCAGGAAGAAGGAGGAGGTTTTATTTTAGCAGGTGCTCTCCTCTAGCAGGTAGTGTTCTATCTCTTTTGCCCCTGGTGATGTCAAAAGATTCTTCTGTTAGCAACCTGTGATACTGACCTGCAACTCTAGGCACCAGTAAAGTCAGCCCTCTACTCCCCCTACCTATTCTCCCCCAACCAAAACCAAATTGACGTTCGGGTCTGCCTTGGCCAGGGGACTTCCATTTGAAAAAAATGGGACAGGGAACCTAATCTTTTGAATAAAGCAAATTAGGAATTAGTGACAAGGTGAAACCAAGGCTTTGCATCCCTTGCTCATTGCTCAGGAGAAAGCTCCCAGCTGGTGGCCAGTCTCCCTCTCCTGTTCGGGGTGCTTGGCCCTGGACCCCAGTCTACTCATTTACTTGTTAAGATTGGCTTTTAAGATCATGTTTTCTCAGTTGCTTCCTGCCATCTGCATAACCTTATGGCAGATGGTGACTGGACCCCCATGGGGCTGGAGCAGCCAGGACAGCGGGAGACCTTTGCCCTCCCTCGTTGGAGTCCCTGTACCTAACCGTGGTGCTCTCCCATCCCCTCCTTCCTCCAGCCAGGCTTTATTCTCCCTGGCCTGGGTTCCACCAGCACCACTCCAGGAGGGCTGGGGGGAGGAGGGCTGCCTCAGGCAGTCCAAGGTGCTCCCTCCCCCTCGAGCCAACACTAAGGTCTTCCCAACTCCCAGCATTAGGACAGTGTCTCTTCCTGAGCCTTCCTCTGCAAACAGACTGCCAACTCTGCTTTGGGCTCTCCAGGCCTTCTGTCCGCTGCTTATGCGAAGGAATTAGCTTTTCTCATGGCCCAAGCTCTCTACCTTAACTGGGCCTGGTGTTCCACCCAAGAGGTTGGTCTGGGGAGTCTGAACAAAATTGGTAGCCATGAATGTGGCAAGCCCAAAGGATTTTTTTCTAGTCAGAAGAGAAATAATTAGGCCTGCTGCCTCAAACTTGTTTGGGGCCCTGCTGCTGGACCAGTCAGCTTGCTCAGAGAGGAAGTGGAGGTCAGAGAGGCCAGACGATGCCTCGTTGTGACTGACTGCATGAGGAGCAGTTGTTCCTCTCAGTCTAGCAACCTGGTGGCCCCGGAATGGGCCAGATGGGACATGGGGACACCTTGCAGAGACTAGAGTTAACAATCACCAGCTCTTCTTCCAGCTCAACTAATGGGCTTGGTCTCAGAGTAGAACTTGGCAAAGGGACCTTGGGAATGTGCCACCTTGGTCAAGCTGGGAACTTATTCCCATGTCCAATCCTGGGGCACTTCTGGGAACAGGTGTTGGGTCACCTTCCAAAGGAACTATGACAGGCTGAGATGTGGTCATGCAAGGATTAAGGTGGGAGGTCATTACTTTTGGTGTGGATGAGGCTGAGGGCAGAGGCAGTGGAGTGGCAGAAACCAGAAAGCCTAGGGAAAATTTTGTAGTATATTCCCAATGGAATTTTCTTTCCAAAGAGTAGGCCCATTGACCCCCTGGAAATGAGAAATGAGGGCTTCTAGGGACCGAGGATGACAGCCTTCCTACCACAGGTGCCAAGTAGGGCATGGTGCCAAAGAGATCCGTGGCTCTTGCCTGGGGGCAGTAGTCGGGTGCTAGCGCCAGGGTCACAGAACCCTTGGTCCCTTACCTGAAGAAGAAGCTAGTTTCCAGCAGGTGGCTGCTGAGCTCCCGTGAGCCTCAAGTTGGCTGGTGCTAATCCCTTTCCCCTCCTGGGACCGATTTGTTAGTGCGCAGACAGACTGGAGAACAGTAGGCCAGGAACCAGCAGGCAGGAAGTAGTGGAGGGCCCTTCAGTCGGCAGATGATGACACGATTGTGTTGCTATCCTTTGTTCTCTCTAGACCCAAGAGTAGTTGCCTTCTTGCTGTTGAACATCCTACTAGAAAGCAAACTTCCCAAAAGAGCATCCAGGACCTCTTAGCTTTGAAACAGGCCTGGGAGTGGTTGGCTGATGGAGATGCCCATGTAATTTTTGGTGAGTTGCTAGAGTATGGTTTGGAACAGGCAGGCCTAGCAGGAAGAAAGGCCATTTGACCTTGAGTGGGTCTAAGGAGGGCTGGCTTCCATCACCTCCCACTTAGCTGGCCACCAGGCAGTGCAACTCCAGGGAAGCGTAGATGGGAATTATCCACCATCCTGAGGCCAGGAAGATCTCTAATAGGAGCAAGGGAAGGACTATTTCAGCTGAGCCATTTGGAAAATATCCTTACAGGAAGACTACAATCATTCGTTGCCATAGTTCTGACTATAGTATATATGGAGTAGATTTTGGAGTTTTGGATTCCTGTCACTAGTCTGCTTGGGGTGGAGTTGCTGTGACACTCGTGTCTTTCAGCGTTGTCATCTTCAGGAGACTGGCAGGGGATCCCCCAAGCTGTGGGTGTGGGTGAGGGCCTCAGGGCCTGCCTGCATAGTGGCCTGAAAGGGTCTGGTGGTTTGTGTTGGTCAGGGGAATGGCAGAGCCGAGATTCTGGTGAGAACTGAGTTTCTTGCCAGGCCTGCGTTTTGCTCCTGGGAAGTGAGTAATTTGAATGTGTCATTAAGCATTCTCTAGTCTGGTTGCTCCCAGTGCTTGTGACACAGGGTGACACTGGAGTTGTCCTTAGGGAGCCTGCCCACCTGGCAGTAAGCAGCCAAAGGCTTCCCCCAACCACAGGATGGAGAAGGTGTGAGGGAGGGATGGTCTTGAGTAGAATCGCCCTTCTGGCTGTTCCCACATGCGTCTGTGGATTATCCACAAGTGTAGGCATCTCCTCCCCTGCTTGTGCTGGGTGTCAGGAGGATGTGGGAGGAACAAGAATAGAGTAACTCAAAGGTTGAAGTCCACTGTCCTAGCAGAAGCTCTGGAATCTTTACATTTTGGAAAAGGAAGGCTGGGAACCTTGGGAAGAGCAGTCGCTCCCCTGCACCTGAGTTTCAGAGACCTGG